AATTAGTATAGAGAATAGTTTAGATAGTAGTATGTAATTTTTAAAGAGCCTGACACAGGCTTATAATTGTGACCATCTGATGTGGGTGCAAATCCTATGTTTAGTTTAGTTTTTCTTGTTTACTTTTATCTTTTTTTTTTTTTTCTTTTATTTGTTTTTTTTTACATATCTCTCTATACCTCTGTGTTTTTTTTATATAAGTTTTTTTCTTTTTCTTTCACTTCTCTACAAGAAGATGTCATTAGATTGGTGATATCCTATTGTAGAGTAGTGGTTGAATGAACCCCAGTAGAATATTATCTTAATTGATCGTACCTCTTTGGTGTGGCATGGTTGCCTGTAGGTATATGTAGGTAATTGGTTAAGTTACGCAAGATAACTGCAGGATGTCAAACCTGTAGCTTTAATGTCATAGCACTTCTACAAGTGGTGATTTATTAAATAAAGATACTGGCACGATCTGCCAAAGTGAAGCAAAAAAAAAAAAAAAAAAATTATTAAAGATTTTTATAATCGATTTTGTTTAAATTACTATTATGCCAATCAAAGTTAATTAACTGGTTAACATCAATATATTGGGCCCAAGCGTGAGAAGAAAAAAATTTAAACACCCAAGAATATTTGATTAAACCTCATTGGTTAACTTTAATCACATGATTAATGAAGCTTATGCTGCGTTGTAATTGGCTTGTTTAATTTCGAGGGGACAGTTCCGATGACGTTATCAACTATTCAACTTTGAACGGTTTTTTATTATTAATCTTGTATATTCAATTTCCAGACGATCATTTTCGCGGCAAGCCATCTAACTACATTAAACAGGGTGATAATTTAGCATTTTGTTAGTTGCAGTTATATTTTGTTTGTGAATTTTCACGCGGTGTGATGTCGGTTAAATGCCTGTCAGGGAAATGACCATCGGAAAATTGATATCGATATGTAACAATAAAATTTTGTACATGTTTTTATAATAATTTATTATTAAATTATTAATTAAAAATAAAGGGCCAGGCTTTTAATCATTTTTATTTAAATTTATATTACTGTATAAGAACAAAAGCAGGTTAACTTTGTTTGGTTTAAATAACATAGTACAGTATTTGCTTTTATAGCTTTTTTTTTTAAAAAAAGAAAAAAAATTTAAGGTAATAAAATTATTAAACCCACAAAATTTTTAATTAGAGCAATATATTAATGGCAAAGAAATATAAAACGCAATATCAGATATGCGTATAATATTAAACTACGAAACCACCGTTGTTCGAGGTACGTACGTACGCATTGCACGTGAGATCCTCACACAACTATGACTATTTGGCACGGGGAGATGTTGGCAAAACCGGCTGTTGAACAAAATAATACATTCGTGAAACCGTCGAGTCGAGATTTTTTAAAACTTGATTGTGTCAAACTAATGATTAGTCAGAACATCTGCTAATCACAACTGACATGGAATTACCATCAGATAAAAAAAATTAAGTGGGATATTACGGATCACTTTTTTAGAATCATCTATGCGCAGCAAGTGTAATCATTTTCTGTACTGCAATCTAACCATACACAATTCGGACTTACGTATTTTAGTGTCGCATGTTTGTGCATTAACTCATTCGATTTCCAAAGATGAATGATTTTCCCGCGCCACTAATTATATTGCCGTAGTGTTCATGTATTCAATGGTCGCTGTGCATATAATGCATGCGATTCTTTCTTTCAAAGGTATCATGGCGCCAATAATATGTAATTTATACGTAAATATTTTACTTTCTTTCTTAAAACCAATAAAATCCCTTAAGATCGAACAATAAGAATGTGATTTTGGTCACACATTATATAAGATTTTCGTTGAGGTAGATGGTGATCAAGCCTCTGTAGATTGTTATGCTATGAAACACAATGGTCCTGATTCGGGCCCTCGTGTCGATTATTTGGGGCAGTGAAGAATCCTGGAATGCGGCTGGAAGAAGAAGCCACGAGAGGCTTAATAAATTTGGTAATCTTGTACTAATATGTACATACGTAAGTACCGGTGTACTCTCTTTAAAAAAATCCTAAGTATTTTTGTACTACAATTTAACGAGACGTCAACCGACGCGAATTATGATATTTTTAATTGTTATTTGTTTTTGTAACTCAAGGGGTACTAGCTTTAATACATACGTAAGTATGTACATGAGATGGGGTTCTATCGGAGCATTGGTATTTTTGGAATTACCAAGATGAAGAAGCGAGATGTTGGTCCCAAAGCACGAGACAGGTTTTTTTTTTATAACTGTATTGTCAATTTTAACATGACAATATATGATGAATATTTGCCGGATTAGATCATTCAATTCAGATCATATCAAAAAAACGTTAGCTTGGCATGTTGGTTTTACTGAGCGCAGAAAGGTGATTGGCCATATAATTCAAATAATCCAAAAAAAAAAAAAAAAAATCCAATATCTCTGACTTTTTTTTTCGCCACGTATCACGTATTCTATCACTGAAAGTATATCAAATATATATATATAAGTATAAATATATATATATATATATCCGAAAGGGGTCAATCCAAAAAAAAATCGATTTTTTTTTTTTTTTTTTTTTTTTTGCGTAAGCAGTTAGTATAAACGGGTGTTGTTGGCTGAGGCAAACAACTTTTTTTCTTGCATAAGGTTGTACTGGAGAG